CCTGCCTTCCGCGGTGCTCCTGCGTGCAGAGACGCCTGGCACCCCCCGCGCCCCCCCCCCCCCCCCCCCCCCCCCCCCCGGCCCCCCCCCCCCCCCCCCCCCGGCGGGGCCTGGTCCCGTCCCCGGCGCGGAGAGGGGCGGCGGGAGATGCTGCCCCCCGCGCGCACACACGCGCCAGATCGCCCGGCCAGCTTTTGGGCTGGCGAGCTGGGCCCCGGGCTGCCGGGCTGCCGCGACATGCCCCTCCTTTGCTCCTCCCCTCCACACCCACACCCACACCCACACCCACACCCACCCACACGCGCACCCCTCTCCCCCTCCCGCCGCCCCTGCCCCTCTCGTCGCTCCCCCTCCCCCCCCCCTCCCACAGGATGCTCCACACCCTGCGCCACGGCTGCGCCCCCCTCCTACGACGCAGCCTGGCCGGCTCGGCGGCCGGCCGGCCGTTCAGCCTCGGCGCCTCGGCCGTCATGCAGCAGCAGCAGCAGCAGCAGCAGCAGACCAAGCCCGACGCTGGTGACACCTCCACCGTGGTGTCGCTCCCGCGGTTGAACTTCCGCGAGATTGCCGAGCGCGTGGACGACATGCAAGCCAACATCCAGCAGCGCAACGCCACCGGCGAGCCGGCCCAGGTGGCCTTCCTGTATCGGGCCTTCGTCGAGGCCCAGTACAATGAGCAGACCCTGCGCAACCGGTCGAATGTCCTGAGCCGGTGCCTGGCCGATGTGGCGGTCCAGGCGCGGCGCCTGCCGCCGGTCACCGGGGCTGCCCCCTCGGCGGAGGCGGTGGCCGAGGCGGCCGCCACGGCCGAGCGCTATTTCGCCCTGCCCCCATACACCGAAGCGGCCGAGGTGGCGGCCGCCCGGGCGGCGTACCTGGAGCAGCTGGCCCGCGTGGGCGCGGCCGCCGTGCGGCAGTTCCTCATCGAGGCGGGCCGCGACACCAAGCACCGCCTTGGCCAGCAGTCGCACGAGCGCCAGTCGGTCCTCGAGCGGCTGGCCCCCATGGCCCTGGAGTTGCCGAATTGGACGCACCCGGACTCGCCGCCTGGCGGGGCCGGGCCGCGCGAGGTGGCCCTTGTCGGGACCCCCTCCCGGCCGGCCGGCGCGCCGGACCACCTGCAGATCGGCGAGGTGCGCCCACGCATGCAACCATGCGCCCAACCACATGCATTGATGTGTGTATGCATGTGCGTGTGTATGTGCATGCATCGATGTGTGTATGCATGTGCGTGTGTATATGCATGCACGAGTGCACGCACGTATACGTATACGTATGCACGCGCGCGCGCGTACACACACACACACACACACACACACACACACACACACACACACGCACACACACACACGCACACACACACACATACGCGCGCACACACACACATACGCGCGCACACACACACACACACACACACACACACACACACACACACACATGCTCCGGGTCTCGGCCCCACTTTGACTCACCCCACTGTCGGGATCTTGTCCTCCGGCGCAGAAACTCGACCTCTTCGACTTCCAGCGCGCGGCGCAAATCAGCGGCTCGCGCTTCTACTTCCTGAAGAATGCCGCGGCCCTGCTGGAGCTGGCGCTGGTCAACTACGCCATGTCGCGCGCGGTGCAGGCCGGCTTCACGCCATACACCACGCCGGACCTGGTGTACTCGTCGGTGGCCGCCGGGTGCGGGTACCAGCCGCGCGGGGAGGCCAGCCAGCTGTACTCGATCGCCGGGCCGCATGGGAATGCCTCGCCGACGCACTGCCTGGTCGGCACGTCGGAGATCCCGCTGGCCGGCATGCACATGAACAGCATCATCCCGGAGGCCGAGCTGCCCATCCGCCTGGCGGCCGTGTCGCACTGCTTCCGGCGCGAGGCCGGGTCCTATGGGCAGGAGTCGCGTGGCCTCTACCGGGTCCACCAATTCACCAAGGTGGAGATGTTTGCCTTCACGCGTCCGGACGATTCGGGCCGCGCGCTGGACGAGCTGGTGGAGCTGCAGCGCGACCTCTTCGACGGGCTGGAGCTGCACTACCAGGTGCTGGACATGCCGCGGGATGACCTCGGCGCGGCGGCCTATCGCAAGTACGACATCGAGGCGTGGATGCCCGGGCGCGGGTCCTTCGGCGAGGTGTCCAGCGCGTCCGACTGCACGGATTACCAGAGCCGGCGGTTGAATATCCGCTACCGGCCGGAGGAGGCGCCCGGGCCTGCCACCCCGGAGGCCGGGGGGCCGGCGGCGCCGGCCGCCGGGCCGGGGCCGCTGCCCTTCGTGCACACGGTCAATGGCACGGCGTGCGCCGTGCCGCGCGCCATCGTCGCCCTGCTGGAGACCCATGTGGACCTGGAGTCGCCGACCATGCGCGTGCGCATTCCCGAGCGCCTGCGCCCCTTCATGTTCGGCATGCGCTACATCGAGACGCCGGTTCCGCCGCGGCGCCCGGACACCGTGGCCGCCAATGAGGCTCGGCTCCAGGCCGACCCGTGGACTCGCGACACCTGAGTGCCGGCTGCCGCCGGAGGGCTCCCCCGGGGGGGGGGGGGGGGGGGGGGGGCGTGACGCCCCGAGGAAGCATGGGGGATCGGGGTCTGGAGATCTCC